AGCTGAGCAGAGCAGATCCACTGATGAACCTTTTAAGGCACAGATGTTTGTTTGTCCCTGAACCCCTTTAACAGAAAATGTTATTAGCTGGACAGATTTATACTTGTATATTAATCATGACAGTATGTTATACAGTAAATTAAGACAATTTTAGGGCCTTTTTACAGTTGTTTATGTTATTATATAATCTATAATCTTCAAAGCTGATATGCAATGGTTTCTTTAATCTTTGTCTCTTCTTTTTTCCTCTAAAACTGTAGTCAGCTTAGTTTTCCACAATTTAACTCCAACGCTTATGTAAAATATAATTTATTTATTTTAATATAATTAATTATATAATGGATAATTATATAATAACACATATCATTGTTATAGTTAAGCATTAAGGGATAAATAATGAATCATACCTGAGATGTACAGGATGAAACCCATAAACACACATCCAGCTTCTGCAACCAACATGGCTGCTGTAGTCCTCCACTTTCTAATCAGAAACAGTATTTGTATCAGCCTTTTCGGAAATGGCTATGTTATATAATATTGTTAAAATGTAACTCCTCGGTCAAAACTGACGTCTTGATGAAGTGAAGAATGAAAAAGACAGAGGGGATTGGTGATCTGTTGTGGACAAACAGCATGTAGCTCTGACGTCAAAATGACTCTTTCTTCCTCTTTCAGAGATCAACTGATTCTGAAGGTTAACTGTCTCTGAAAACATTTACTTACTATCTCATTGCCATGCATCTTATTTTTGTATCTCTTCATCTATCCTTTTCTTACATTTTATTCCCTTGTTGACATTTTTACAGTGTATTGCAAAAATATTCAACTGTGGCATGAACTGTGTCAATGTTTTTAGAGTGAGCGAACAGTGATGTGAAGCTGCAAGTGATGAAAGGTTTATCTGTGTTTTGTGGGGCAGAAAAAAGAGAGGAGGAAGCTGTGGGTGTTACCTCACTTATCTTTTAATACATAATCTGTTTGTTGTCCTGTTGGTTCTACATCAGTTTAATAAGCTCAATTATATATTTCCTCTGAGAAATACCCCAAGCAGAACAAAACTATTTGGAGAAATTTAAAGTTCTTCTTAATGCAAAGTAGAAACTTATGGTCAAACATATCCACAAACAATACAAATCATCTTAAAATTAGATCAAAGTATCAAAAGAATTTATGTGAATAAGTCACAAATATTAATATTTGTCCAGAATACCAATTCAAAATACAATGAGTTAGAGAAAACATGAGAAATGATGAAACACCATGACAACAAATGTGCAAGTCAAAAAAAGAAAAGAAGAAAGAAATTAATCATTTAACTCTTACTTTTGTACTTTTTGTAAATGTTGCTCAAAATAGAAATTGTTGTAACAATTATAAAGAACACACGTTAGTAAAGTTTTAGAGTTACAAAATGTCTGAGTTTTTCTATCTTTCCAATTATATACATGTATGGCCTCATTCTTTATGTTCTGACATTTTTAAGAAAAGACCCTCCCGATCTCCTAGTACATCTCCACAGCCGCAAATGGCAAATGTGGACATATTTCCTTTCCGTGCAGCTGTTGCTTTCAGCTGTGGCTTCATATTCAACCACATAGCATGTACAACACCAATATGTTCCTGTTTGAACCAGAATTTCACATGCTAAGTCACACTCTTCAGTAAAATCAGTATTTTGCTGCGATAGTTTTAAACCAAAGAGTTCATTTCTGGTTTAAAGAGGTTTAAATAAATAAAAACACTTATGCTTGACAGCAGATTAAAACAAGGTAGAAACTAGACTCATCTTAGAAAACAATATGTGCAAAGGATGAGCAAAAAAGGATTTATCTGAACAAAAGTCTCTTTTACACTCACAAAGCTAAAAATTAAAGTGCACAATAAAACTTGGTGCAGCTGTATCTTTGTTTTCAAAAGCCCAATAATATTTATCACTATTTAAAGTTTCTACTTATTTATTGAAATAACAGACTGCAAAGATTCAAATAACCAAAATTATTGGCTCTACAGTACAGGCCCACACACCTTGTCACACTTCCTTGTATTACATAAATTAATAAATACAAATACATAATTTTACATGATGCATTATCTCCTCATAAATTACAATTTAAACATACAATGTTTAAATACATACAATTTACATACAATTTAAACATAGTGTTATATATTTTTATTATGAAGACGTAATATCTTGAATGTGTGGAAACAGATACAATCTGTGTTGGACGTTGCAACATAACTAAATAGGTTGTGGTCTGGAGGCTGTGCAGCTCTTTTAATTACAGCGACTGAGGCATTCAGTGGAAAGTGATGAACTAATGAGATATACATGGATATCCGTGCACAATCAACAGTGTTTCTGATATCGAAGCTGCATCCTGTGGAAATGTTTTTTTTTTTTTGCCACTTGGGAACTGCAGAACAAGCTCGAATGTATGCTTATTTATGGTATATCCAGCCTTTATGAGCAACATTAACATTCATTTTGAGGCATGTTTGTGTCTGATGAATTCTGATGAAGTCCAATTGGGCCTATTTACTCTCCTTTTAGCTCTGCTTTAGTTTTAATAAGTCTTGAGAGAAATATCTGGCTTTTTAGTTGTTAAATGTTCCACTATGCTCACCAGATATAGCGTCGTCCTTTCTTCTGTGTGATTCTAGGCACATTACATTGGCTTTATCAGAGATTTATTAAATTAAAACAACTGACTACTGACTACTTACATTAATACATTAACCATATTGAGCACTATAGGGGGTTCTCCAACAGGGGACTGTGGCCTGTTTGTATTATTGATGATACCACCCGTTAAGTACCCCCTTAATCAGAAAGATAGGTCCACTCAGCCCTATCAAAGGGCTTCTCCGTGTCCAGCAAGAGAAGAGCTGTCTACCTTTCTCCCTTTCGGTTATATTGATATGATATCATGATATGTTTTACATTATGAAACCCTTGTCTTCCCTTGTCTAAACCCATTTTGATCATCCACCAATGCATCCCCCAATGCCTGAATTTACACCCTCCAGTCAATTGCCAATGCCAAAATTTTACTGAGGATTTTTGTATCTATATTTATTAGACTTATAGGATGCAAAATTCATATGTAGTGTTAGTTTTACCAGGTTTTGGACACAGGAAATTCAAAGCCTCTCTAATTGAATCTGATAGATAACCATTCATTTAAAGTACATCTAATAAAGAGGAGTCACCAGTATTTTTTTATGTGTCTTCTTGGCATGTTTCTTTTGTGTGCGGACCCCAGGAAGAGTAACTGCTACTTTGGTGGCAGCTCACGGGGATCCAAGAATAAAGAATAAAAAATCAAGTCAATCGGGAGGCTGTTTTTTCCCCCTCCAGTGCACCTAGCTTTATCCAGTTTCCTTTTTATCCTATAATCTTGGGAATATTAAGTTTGTCTAGAAACAACACTAATAGTGTACCCAGATCTATAGAGGTTTTTATAGAAATTCTGAAATGCTGTATTCATTTCTAATGGATCAGCTGTTGTATTCACCTTCGCATCCATCCATATTGGTAATTACACTCTCTGTTTGCTGTTGTTTGATGCGCCATGCAATGAGTCTACCAGGCTTTTGTCCTTGATTGTAGTAAATTTGTTTAAGCAATGGCAGGGCGGTTAGCTCAATGGCATTCTGCCAACGAACAGCAGAGACCGGTCCGGGCACCCCTCCATCCTCACCATCATGGGCTCTTTTCTCCTGTGGGATACTTTAGAAGTTGTCCTGATGACACCACCGCTATGTTCCTGCCTTTAAACCTCCAAACCATTGAAACAACTAATAATCCAGGAAAACCTCTTTTAATATCTTAAAACCAGGGAAACCTGTAATCAACCACTGAAATCTGTTATTCAATTTCAATTCAATTCAATTTTATTTTTACAGTCATAACAAAAGTTTACTCAGGACAATTTTCAAATAGAGCAGGTCTACACCATACTCCTTATATTATAATAATTATTTGTTTCCTCCACGTTTTAAACAAAACAAGCATTTTTGAACAGGCCAGCAACCGCAACCACAATGCACCTACACAGGAGACACACAAAGAGCTCAGACGCTCCGGATGGTGCCTGCAGGAGCCTCACTTGGGTGGTCCACGACTGAGATGTTTGATGTCAGGAATATTATTTATTTTAATGACATTTTAGACATTTAACATTTTATTGAGTGTTGTTTATTTAGTGACTTCCCTGTGTAAACTATACTGTTGCTGCTCTAGAAAAGTTTTTTCGTTATATTTAATACATAAATAATTTCTAATGAGTGTAATGTGAAAAACTACAAACTGTGTGTATTTTAAAAATAAATAATGAAATGATAATAGTCTAAGTTATATATCTATCTGGGAACCGCACATACAGGAGATTTAACCCTATTTGACGTTCTATTCGGCTTTGCACAGAAACAGCGGGTAGAATGTCTCTCAGAGAAACAATGTACTGATTAAGTTTTCATTGTACAACCATCAACATTTAAGCAATATATTACACTGGAAATCTTACTTTAACAAACAAACACAACAACCCCCAATATCCCCTCACACATCCACCCATTCTCTGTTGACATCTCATTTGCATTTGTAATTCAAATCCATATAAAGTTTATGTCAATATCAATTATAGTGTTCCCACGTGGTCATAATGTTATGGCTGGTTGATAAACATTGTTAGTAGTTGCAGCAGTTTTCTTCTAGTTAAAAGCTATCATTAATTTGGCCTGCAATATAGCAAAATCAATCAGTTTGTTTTCTTTGGAGTCTATAGTGTAGTCTATAGTTCATTGACAAAATGGTCATAATTTCATTGATCACCTCCCTCCAAAATGTCTTCATTTTGTTGCACTCCCAAATACTGGGTTTAAATATTCACCAAGCTTCACTCTTAAAACAAATATCAAGTATATTAATGTTATTTATATATCATACATATTAATATTGCATTATTTTTACTGACCACTTGGGGGCAGAAGAAGTCTTAAAATGATTGCTCATTGATGGCTACCATTTAAGCAAGTGGTTGCTAATGTTCACATCCAGCTGACATGAAACATGTTTGTATTTTAGAGGTGTGTGTCTGTCTAGCTTATAAATAAATACTATACATGACTATTTAAGTTCAAAATGCCAAGAAACAACGAGTAAGTTAGAAAAGGGTAGCACTGCTCAGATAGGCTTATATAGGCTACACAGCATGTGTTTTAAAAGAATTCCTGCCTCAACAGTTTGTACAAGTCAGTAGGATAATGTTGATTGCAGAAAAAGTAAAAACATGTAAATCAAAGACTGTCAAGGTTTTTACCTCATCCACAGGTGGAAGATAAGTAGAGGAATTAGTCATACTGCATTAATTATTGTCATTGATATCCCTGGAGGTGGAGAAAGATGGATGTAAAATTTGTGTTACTGGTTGGATAGCTTTTAAAAGAATACAAAAGGAGAGAAGGGGATGTATATTTGTAGACGTATGTTTCCTCTTTCCAATTGCAAGGTAATTACTAATGACTTAACTTTTCATTTCAAATTAAAAGTCACGCAAACCTTTAACAGTGAGAGTCTTTTCACATGAGCTGTGGGTTTTGACAGCACAGGAGTAGCTTCCTGCATGCTGACTGCTGACTGGGTCTAGAACCAGGTGTTTGTTCTGGTTCTCTGGCAGGGTCAGAGGTCGACTGTTCAGGTACCAGATGTAGTTTGTGTTGTCAGTCAGAGGACAGCTGGTACTGCAGGTCAGTGTGACTCTCTGACCCTGAATTGAGTACAAAATTAGATTTCATATAAGGATATGACTCTTGAAGTAATAAACTACTAGCAGCCACTGTACCTGTAACGTAGAGTTGAATTCTCCAGGAGTTTTTCATTTTGACTGCATTCTCTTTGCAGTAGTAAACATTTCCATCACTCTCTCTCTCAGATCATTGATTGTTAGAGTTGGATGACTCCCCTTAGACATGTACAGTACATGTGTTCCATCTGCAGAGAGTTCATTCTGAACATTCTTATATCCATCCATGAACCTTTTAAGGCACAGATGCTGTTTGCTCGTCTCCAAAGACCTTCACCAGCTAACATTGGGAGAAATATATGGCTTTTAATCAGTGACTATAGTGATATACATGAATGGATTCTATCTATCTAGCTATTTTTCAGCAGGCGAGCTGATAATCTGGTGAGTTAACATAGTAACATTATAACTCAAGCACTTAACTAAAAAAGTGATCACTTTACAATTCATCATTAGTAAGTATTTGTAATGAAAGTGAACAATCATTAATACCTGAGATGTACAGGATGAAACCCATGAACACACATCCGACTTCTGCCAACAACATGGCTGTCTGTAGTCAATCGGCTTCTAATCAGATCACAAATGTATAAATATATTACTCTAAATTATAACCTCTGCAGCAGTCTGAAGCTGGCTGAAGGCTGAAGAGGACACAATGGGCTCTTGATCAGTGGAGGCACACATAGCATGCAGCTCTGAACACTTCATTCCTCTTGATGTAATTATTATTCTTAGTAGCAAGAAGCTATGCAACATGCAGCGATCTCAACAGCAATACGTGTTCACCAAAAAGGTTTTAAAGGGCGTAAACTGAGAAATGTGAAGGTGTCAGTGATCTAAGTGGTATCTGCGGATGGTTTGTTGTTGAAAGGCGCTAAACCTGAGAAGACAAAGCCACAGACTTAACCTCCACTGAGCTTTTGTTCATATATCACAAAAATGTATTCATATTGATGTCATGGTATATTTTGTAAACTATTCAAACATCATGGTAAAAGGCAGAGGAATATTTGTTCCAATGAGTCATTTGAGGGATTGCCATGAAATTTGGTTCAGACATTCAAAGTCCCCAGAGGATGAAGCCGGCCACCAGCAGGTCTAAGTTTTCAACTTTCTAGTGAAATGTCTGAAAGGTGCAAAATATGGGGTGAAGGCCTAAGCTATCGGACTATCGCCTCTTGAGGTACAAAGTGGTATTATGAGACAGGAAGGGCCAAAGGTAGCTGGTTAGCATGCTAACTTCAGTAGATATCCCTGCAGCATAATAGACGTCTCTGGCGTAACATCAAAACTGTTATTTCTACACATTATGTTGATAATTTTTTGAATGTATTAAACTAATATTCTTACATTATAAAACCTTAAACATCTGCTTGTTTTATTCCCACAAAGGTTTGTTCACACATATACACCGATCAGCCATAACATGAGCAATGACAGGTGAAGTGCATAACACTGATTATCTGATTATCA